ACACCGCAAAATTTGGGTGTCCCCCCACCCCGCCCGGGCCCTTTCCCACAAAGCCGCTTTCTGGTGAGCGGGCCCGGTCTGCACTAGTGCACGGGGTGGCTCCTTCCCAGAGGCAGGACTTGGCCTTTGTCTGAACCCCAAGAAGTTCCCATCAAACCACGTCTCCAGCTTGCTGAGGTCCCCCTGGACAGCAGCCTTACCCTCCAGCATGCCGCCTGGAAAAGCAGGCCTCCCCATTTGCTATTAAAAGCCGCACGCTTGCTGAGTGCTCTCCATCCCACTGTACAGGTCACTGGTGAGTATGTTCGGTGCTACTGACCCCTGAGAAACAGCACTCAACTGGCTGTCGCGGACTGCAAACGGCTGCCCAACACCTGGAGCTCAGCGGCCCCGCCACTCTTACAGCCACCTTGTAGCCACCCACCCAGTCTGTGCTGCCCCCGTTTGCCTGCAGGGTTTCTCACAAGCCTGACCAAAGTCAGCGTAAGGGCACCCGCTGCTCCCCCGTCTGCACAGACAGGCACCTCACCACAGAAAGCACTCAGACTGCTCAGGCACGATTTCGCCTTTGGTAAACCCACGTTGGCCAATCCCAATCACCTACTTGTTTTCATGTGCCTGGATCCTCTTTCTTGCCATTTTTGAAGACAGGCATAAAATTGTCCTTTATCCAGCTACTGGGGACTTCCCTCAGTTGTAGCCTTTCGGAGGCGACAGGCTCGATTCGGCCTCTTCCACTTCTGGCGCTTGGCAGGAGCTGGCTCCTGGCATTCAGCATCTAGCACAGTACTCTATCAATACAAATAAATATGAATAGGAAACTAAACCAAATAGAAACATTTCTAAAACAGTATTACTTTAATCCAAAACCATTATAATATCTAAGAATTCTAGATACTCAAAAACATATATATAGTTTTACCTGAAATGCTGGTCATTCCAATAAATACTTGAGGATACTCAGGATGTCACTTGAAACACGAATGTTAAGAAAAAAATGGTTAAAAAAAATGTACTAGGTGTAGTAAGAAAATCATCATGACCACTGTGACCAGGAGGTGACAGCTGTGAAGAGTTACTGTCCAAGCAAGCATGAATAAATAGTACAGTACCTCACTTATTCAAGGTGACATGTTCCAAAGATATACAGTGAGGCTCACTGGCTTATTGCCAGATGCATAAAGATAGTGAAATACTTCCTGCAAAGCTTAAAACAAGCACGCTGTCTGTTTTTCAGACAAATGTGACAAATTCTTTTGCAAAACTTTTCTGAGCATAAAAGTTATAGTCCAAGATGACAGAAAAAGGGAGTAAAATAAGGTAATTTATTTTTAATGAAATAATCTCTTTCTTACAGGAAATGTTTATTAGTTTATCAGTAGATAGACTCAGTGTAACGTTATCAGAGGAGTTCAGGTGGTGATATGGACAGGGCAATGTGTGTGCTGGCTTCTGTCTTCTTCCTTCTGCTGACCAAAATCAGAGGGAAAGATATTATTATCGTTTTGACCTGCAGAAATGAGAGGCACACATACTAGTACCCTGCAGTGGCCATAGAAAATTCTATTTCGATTATTTTTCTTAAAAGTATACATCTGTATAGACTACTGGACCACGTCCTCTGTTTGATACCCTTTATGGAATTCTTTTGCAGTACAGGGACCACGATCCAGCCACATGCACCAGCAGAAGGTTCCGGCTGATGTGCCTCTG